GAAAAGAGTCCCACAATGTCCTTCTAAACCACTCCAATTTAATATATCAGTACTTTGTTTAGGATTTCTACTTTGACCAATGCCTTGTAATTGAGAGACAGACTCCTCCAAAGGCCATGTAGAAGGCCACTGGTCAGCAGTTATAACGGAGAAGTTGCATTAAGTTCTCCTTGCTGTCCATTTAGGTGGTTTTGGCCAATTGAATTATAAAATCTGTAGTTACTACTAGTCAAAACTTTTGCCGATCAAAATTAACAAATCTCTTGTAGAATTAGGGTTAAAGGAATGAAAGCTCTTCTTGACTCTAAAACTTTTTATAACAGACTTAAAACCAACAAGCAAGAATAAATAATTTCCATAAACATTCTCTACATACTTAGGTGAAGACAAGATGAACAAACAAAAACCTTTCATGTTAAAAGTACAACTCTTACTTATAGCTTTCCTAATATTTTTTTTTATCTCATTTATTATGAACCTTCCATAACAAACTTCAGCTTAAAATGTCCGTTTTCTGCTTTTAGATTATTACATCTTAAAATTTGACTGGCTCCCAATAGAACAGTATTAATCTAAAAGAGCAAGTTAAACCTATAATCACAGTTTAATCATTTGCACAAGAAGTGTTACCAAAACTAGTTTTCACTAACAGCTGACTGTCGTAGAGCAGAAGTTTGAGCAACTCCTAGGCTGGAGCAAAAGAGGCCAAACAATGTAAGACAAAGACTTATGAAAACCAAACTGAAAGAAGAACCAGGGACTCTGTCGGGGAATCTCCTTAATCTCCTCTTCCGAAACCAGTACCAGAAGAACACTCAACCAGAGGGTCTTGAGGAGGGGAAAAAAATCAATCTCCCTCCCCATAAACACAGAGACAAAGTTCCTACCAGAAGGGCAAAGGACCTCTCTGGCCCCTGCTGCGGGGAGTCCACTAGCACGTCTGCTTGGACCTCTCTCCCTGCCTCCAAAATGATCCGGATCACAAATTACCAATTCAGACATTAACAGGAAAAGAAAGACACTGAAGCAAATAAAAGAAAACCAAGGACAAACTATTTCTACAAATTCTAATGAATTACACAATTGCTGGTGCCCTTTTCTAGCACCACCGACACACAATAAGTCTTTAAGCATATATACAAAAAGCATGCAACTCTTGCCTGCTCCCATTTTTAATATTTACAAGAAAACTCACCGCTCCTCTTTTTGCCTTCCTTTTGAAGGTCCTCTTTTTTCTTTTTGTCGAGATCTCCTTTTATTCTTTATCCATCGGTGTCCTTCACTGAATCCCTCGATACTCAGGTCCCTGTTCTTCAGGTCCCTGTTCTTCAAGTCCCTGTTCTTCAGGTCCCTGTTCGGGCGCCACTTGTGGCGGTCCAGCCGTCACAACACGAACATGCCTGAGTCGGGGAGTGAGGATTGAGAAAGGAAAGAACACTCAAACCTGAGCGGAGACGAAGAGAAGTCTGCTTTACTTCACAGAAACAGCTCCTTTTATAGGTTCACAGCAACAGGAAGCTTTTAAGGGCACATAACAACAAAAAACACCAAGTCATTGTTTTTCAAAGACCGAATTTCCTGACTCTTACTGATAACATCAGATCTATGGCTGTCTCTTTGAGTTTCTTCTGTTGCAGCAACAAGTTTAACAAGCAGAGTCCTAGAATGTTACAGATTGTATCAATGCCTTGAGTGTAGAGGTGAAGAAGTTTCCTTTTAAATGTCAAACTCCTAGAGGGCCACGGCCGGGCTCCCACAGCATAGTTAGTATTATGAATTTTATTTTTCTAACTGCATGTATTTTCCTTACATGCATACATATTTTGGTAGTAGATTTCTAATTAGCTAATGTTGAAGAAAAATTTTTTGAACTCTCTAATGTGTGTGAAGAATTGTAGATGAAACATTAATTCTAACTTGCATCTGGTGTCATGCTTCCCATTAACCATGAACAGAGACTTCCAGTGGATGTAGAATCTCACATTTTTAAAAAGCAATACAAGCTGGGCGTGGTGGCGCACGCCAGTAATCTCAGCACTCAGGAGGCTGAGGCAGGAGGATCACTGTGAGTTCGAGACCAGCCTGGGCTACATGGCTAGTTCATTCTCACTACATAGTAAGACCCTGTCTCAGAAAAACAACAAAAACAGCAATACAACTTTGTGTGTGTGGCCGTAGGACTGAATCGGGGACTCTTGTTGCAAGCACTCTGCTACTCTCTTCAGCCCTTTTAAACTTTACTTTTAAGACAGATTCTCACTAAATTTCCTAGGTTAGTTTTGAACAGTGGACTCTTCTTCCTCAGCCTCCTGAGTAGTTGGATTACTGATTTTGCCATGACACCTGGCCACAAGTTTTTATAAATATTTTTCCTGGTTATTTGCTTCTTCGTCATGTTTTCATGTTAAATAATGATGGTGCACAAAAATGAATATTTTCAAAAACTTTTCTCAGTAGCTGTTTATATGTAATTTATAAGTATTCTTATAGTCAAAACCAATTTATAAAGAAACAGTCATTGTTATTTCTATTATCTTGCAAAGATTCAGTAATTTCACATGATATCCATCTATCCTATAAATACATCTCAGACCTCTGTAGCATATCACCAGTGTCAGTAGTTGTAATGTCAGATTGATGTGTACCTTCAGTTCTTCAAGGAAAAAGTGGTGTAAACAGAATGGGGGTACCTGATTATGTATTACTTAAAATTAGTAACTTAAATATATTTGGTTCTTTCTGAATCATCCTGTGCCATCAGAATGTGCATACATTCTTTGTCACTAAACGTTTGATGGTAGTCAAAGGAAGTTAGCTATCTATTATAGATACAGGACAGAAATAATGATTCACTGAGGAAGAACTCAACTTTTGTGAAATGATCATAAGAGAGGCTAGTATTAGCTTTCTTAATTTTAAGGTTGGCTGACTTTTTTTTTTTTGGTACCTGAGATCAAACTTGGGTCCTTAGCAGGCTGAGCTACCCGCCCCACCCCCCGCTGACATTTTTAATTCTCTCAGAGAGAAATACTAAAAGAACAGCTTTCCTGTTGCTAGGACAAAATACCTGATACCTGAAACTTAAAGGAAGATGGATTTATTTTGGATCACTTTCAGTCCATGGTTGGTTGGCTTAAGGAAAAAATGTCATGGTGGGATGACATGGCAAAGGAAAGTTGCTCAGCTCATGATGTCCAGGAAGCAAAGAGCAGGGGAAGAGCCCCAAAGAGGAAAGGGCTAGGGAACAGATATAGTCCCCAAGGTTACACCTCCATGATCCGCCCAGATATACCAAGAAATGCGCTTTACTACTCTAGGTATCTCACAACCTAGCCAAATTGATAATCAGAATTAGCTGTTAGAAGTGTATACATGCTTCATCTTTTATTGAGGAATACAGTTTAGTTGTCTAAACTTAAAATCTTAGATTTCCAGATCGTAAATATTAGTCCAGTTCAACTCAGATGCTTTTACTTTATGGACATTAAGTCTTTCTGGTATTATAATTTTAGTTATTTAATCCATTAACTTAAAATTGCAAAGGATTTAAGACCTTGTGTCTTTTTCATATTTGTTTATTTGAAAATTACAGTATATTGTACCTACAAGATAGTGTTTAATCATGTTACAACTTAATGAATAATAACCTAGTCAGCATTAGCCATTCAGTAACTATTGGGTATTATTTTACAGGAGACTCTGCAGCAATTGATTATGATGTCATTGCCGAATGTCTTAATCATTGGCAAAAATCCCTTTTCTGGTAAGTATTAAAATATAATGTAACAGTAATGTTCTACCTTTGTGTGATACTGTGTTTACCAGGAGCTTGATTATTTATGTTAACAACACATAGGTTTTCACAACTCCTTTGGAGAGGGTGGAGGTGATGCTGCAGTTGGTAGCAAGAAAACAAGCTTAGAATTTGTTAAGTTGTAGGAGGGAGTAGATACACCCTTAACTCAAAGTCCAGTGTTTTTTTCTCCTATTCCCAAATGGATAGTTTTTGGTGATTATTATGAGTTTAGTGTCTCATAAATAAATATAAAAGATGATGTAGTTATAAACTTACAGGAATATAACCTAAAAAACATTCTGGAAATAAGTTCTGTTTGTATACCTATCATTGCCGAAGTTTGAGATAAAGTTTTACTGATGTTTTAAACTACTTCTGAATGAAAAAATGAGAAGCAGTTTCTTAGTTCATTTAAATTATTTTTACTTAAAACTCTTAACCTTTACCAGATTTTAGTTATGATGTGTTACGTTTTGTTTGTTTTTGTTTCTGGGAGTTGAACCCCACAACCTTTCACATGCTAAACACACAGTTATCACTGAGCTATACTCCTAGCCCCCAGAGTTTAAATTTTTAACAAAGGACTTAATCCTTGCTAGTGACATGGTATCCAATTTGAGTATATTGTATCTTCTCTACACCCTACCCTTTCCTATAGTCAAAATCAACAACAACAAAAGGCACCTGTTTTGGAAACTAATTAGATGCATTAGTAGTGAATTCAACTAGCTGAGAGTTTAGTCTTTGGAGATACTTTGGGGTGTTTAATCATGTACATATTTTAAAAAGGGGACTCTGAGGCTTAGCTTAGTGGTAGAGCCCTTGCTTAGCATGGCCAAAGCCCTAGGTTCAAACCCACCACTAGGGGATAGGGGAAGAAAGAAAAGACAATTTTCAGGTAGAATGAAATTTTCAATTCCATATGCATTCAGTAACTTTCTCCTAGGTTTTAGGGGCCAGATATTTAAATAAATAGTACACACATTACTGGGAAACTATGCAATAATTAGTATGAAGTAGAGATACATACGAAACGTATAGGCATATAAAATATGGAGCCATTGTTTATGTAATTGGTGTATATTTATGTTAAGGTTAGGACCATTACTGATTGGTTTAGGGAAGACTACACAAAGATAGAGCTGTGACAGTGGTGGCACACCTATGACACATGTTCCAGAGTGGACTCTTTGTATCATTGAGAGCTCTAAAATGTTCGCCATCACTGATCTAGGATGATGAATATTAGTAAGTGATTCATAGGCAGGATGAAGAGGAAGGGAGGGAGAGAGAGAGAGAGAGAGAGAAAGATATATCTATATGTACCACTGAATGTTTTAAGAAAATTTTATTTGAATGCTTTTGGATAGGAGATGGTTTCTCCAGTTCTGTAACAGGCTGTTATCTTTTTATCCAGCTTGTTATGTACATTTATTAGGAGTCTCACTGAAATAGATGTTTAAGATTCTGATCCTTATGAACCTACACAGTGGAACTCCATTTAAATTTTATAGGTTAATAAATAGTAATATTTGTATTTTAGAAAGAGTGCACTGAGAAGCCAGACCTGTAGCAGCCATTTTAGTTGACTTTGGCATATTATATCAGCATAATGTGGTAGGTTCTTAATATGGTAAGCTAATGTAATATAATTTATGGAAAAGGAATAGCATATTTACTTCATGAAACTTTGAAAGTATTTATTCTACAGCTTTTCAAAATTAAATTTGTTGCCTATTTCTGCTGCTGTTACCACACTACAAACACAAAGAGCTGCTTTTTAAATTTCACGGTATATATGTTTATAGAATTAAACTTTAGGTCACTTTATTGTGAATAATACCTGCAGAATATAGTAAAGAGTTGAAATAGAGCTCTTATACTAAGTAATTGTTTTTTGTTTTTGTTTTGTTGTTTTTTTTTTTTTCAGAACAAGGCACAGAAGAGGTTAAAAAACTGCTTTTACTCTTATTGGGTTGTGCAGTTCAGGTAGGTTGAAGTATTTCTTCATATTTTCATGTTAGCCTGTTTATGCTTTTTCAGGCTCTAGTGTTTGGAAGATTTAAAGATGTATCATTAGTTTTCAAAGTATGTTAGAAAGTTTTAAATATTTGTATAACTTCCAAGGAGACTATGTTGAAGAAAAATAGTTGTTCAGTTCTTTTAAAATTTATATTATTGTGGCATTTAAAATCTTTATTCTTTTCCCTGTTCTGAGGCTGTTAATGGCCCCTAAGTTTTTCATATTTATTCTTTATGAGCCTCTTCAAAAATCTTTATAATTCATGTTTGTATGAATGTATATTTTATAAGAATTAACAATGAAAAAGAGGTAGAACTTTGAAAAATATTTTAGGAGCCTGGGAGGTTTTTTGCAAATGGGAAAGAGACCAAGAGATGCAGGGAGGGTAAAAGAGGGGATGAAAGGGGAGATAAAAATGGTAATATTAATGATACACATTAATATTATACTTAAAACATGAAGATTAGTAATGTTAACTATTCTTAATTTTTCTCGAAGTTGTTAGCTGATTTTGTTTAACTGTCCATGGATTCATGCAATACAGATCCATATCATCTGAAAAGGGATTTATATAATATGGAAATTCAAGGTAGATATTCTGTCAGATTGTCATTAGAAAGAGTAGAAGAGTATTTGGGTGGGCTAAGTCTTAAGAAAGGCAGTGTAGGAAAACAGTATCAGAGGTTAATTATAGAAGGAAAGGTGGAGGAGAAAGTAGGGAGGGGAAGGGGATGTAAAAAGAATTAAGATGTGTTATGTACATGTACCAACTCCCCATGATGAATGTAATTATTGTGTCCTGAAAACATGTACTAATAAAATTAAAACATTAAATACGCATGGTTATGATATAAAATAAGCAGAAAATAATAGTTATTTTGAGAGGTTTGGAAAGAATAGGGTAGTGTAGAGATAGTTTTAAAAGTCAATAGATACTTCTCTGTGATATGATTCTTTTAGTTCTCTTGGAAAGATACCCAGCAGAGGGATGGCTGGGTCAAATGGAACCTCCAGTCCAAGCTCTTTGAGTTATCTCCATATTGATTTCCATAGTGGTTGCACTAGTCTGCACTCCCGCCAACAATGGAGAAGGGTTCCTTTCTCCCCACAACCCCTCCAACATTTGTTATTGTGTGATTTCTTGATAGCAGCCATTCTTTGTGGGGTGAGGTGGAATCTCAGTGTTGTTTTCATCTGCATCTCTCGAATGACCAGTGATGTGGAACATTTTTTCATATATTCTTGCTGCTTTTACTTCTTTGTCTGAGAAATGTCTGTTCATTTCAGATGCCCATTTTTGGATCGGGTCTTTATATTTGGGGGGACTGATTGTTTTGAGTTCTTTATATATCCTTGATAATAGTCCTTTATCTGAGGAACAGCTGGTAAAAATTTTTTCCCACATTGTAGATTGTCTCTTAGTTCTGCTGATGGTTTCTTTTGAAGTACAGAAGCTTTTTAGTAAGATGAGATCCCAGTTGTTGATTCTATCTGCTAGTTCCCGTGCTACTGAGGATTTGTTCATAAAGTCTTTTCCTATACCAATGTCTTCCAGAGTTCTGCCTAACTTACCTTCCAGCAAGTTTAATGTTTCTGTTTTAATATTTAGATCTTTAATCCATTTGGATTTTAATTTAGTGCATGG